GGCTTCATAGGTGCAATCGCAAACTGCAGCTCAACAAGATCAAGATTCTTATCCAAGTGGTCGATAGCCATCGCTGGTCGCGAGTGTCAACGACCCATCAACCACTTCCGACGATACCAGATCGGAATTGACGAGCACGTCGTTTTTATGCGAGTTCGTGCTTAGGTCCCAGTTGCCATCGTCCCATCTCAGATCGTATAGGCAAACGGGTTTACTAGGCTCCTGAAGAGTGGGCTCGTAGAAAACCTCTTTTTTGTGGGAAAGTGAAATTGGAGGAGATGTTCTCCATTTGCAAAGAAGAAAGAGAGTGGAGTGAAAATGAAAAGTTACATGATGGTGGTTAGAATGAATTGCGGAAGGAAAATGCAGTCGACGGACAAGGAGGCTGAGGATGTGTTCACTGAGTGCTGTACCAAGTGGAGAAGATGCTTGGCCTCGGGCTATGAAGCAGCGATGGAAATGCATGCTTTGGCGGAGCCTGAGATGGCGCGCTCGTTGTTGACTTTGAAACGTTGAAGCAAGAGCACTGACCAACCGAATCTTGTGTCGCTGAGCGGGCATACTTGCCGAACAACGTAGGTCGAATGGTGGCGCGAGGCGTCGACCGCGACCACCACAGTGCCTTCAGGCGATGCGCGCGCGTGCAGCGGCCGCGCCTGTCACAGTAGAATTGCTGGGCCTGCAAATCCGAGTAGCGATTCTTTGAACCACCTCATCAACGTTATACACCCTGCAATGTTGATCATTCCGCGATGCTGTAGCAAGCTGTAGTGTCTTCTATGTGTGAAGCGTCCTGCTATGCAGTATTGGACCCGAGTGCCGAAACCATGCGAAGGTTGAAGCGGCAAAGAAAGAGCTCTTCCTGGTGACGGCTCTAACAATAACAACCCACATCGAAGCGAGATTGGGACGATGCACCACCCTCACCGCACAATGGAATATGAATTTGACGTTGACACCACTGAAGCCGTACAAAGAATCCACCACCTGCTCCGTAGCGCAGCGGAGGTTGCATAGCAGTGTCGTTTCCGGCTAAAGGACGGTAGCGGCCCGCTGGGCACCGCAACGAAGCGGAGGTCGCGTCCGTCGCACGCATCCGTCACACATTCGCCATGTGAATGCGTGTTTGCAGTAAGAAGGGTGCGTTGGACGTGCAAGAGCCCGTAAGGGTGGAAGGCATCCACATTGTCCAAGCTACGACACAGACACACCGCTAGGCTGCACGCGGCCCCGACACCAAACTGAAATCAAAAAGCGCGCCAGGACCTGCGCAAACCTTTTACACGAATCAAACCACTACGCATGCTACACAGAAATACCGCTAGATGGCCCACCGGCCCTATGCCCCACCTCAACCACAAAGACCAACCACACCCTGCCCCAAGAAAACCCGAGGTTTGGGGCAGAACTTCAATGCACATGATCCCGTCCACCGACGAGTCCAAACTACGTCACACATAGTACCACGATCCCACACTAGATTGCAAGCTACCCCAGTGCAAGACCTCAACCAAAGAGCTCGACCAAAACCTGCCCCAAGAAAACTCGAGGGTAACCCTCGTTCAAAGTTGATACACCATGGACACAACAAAGAGCGTACTCCGGTCAAGACTCAAAGGACATGCGACCAAAATGTTGCGTGTTCAAATTTGGTTGACGCATCTACCAGCAACGCCAATAGCAGCGCATGCCAAACCCGGGGTGCCAGTGGCAATGGCGGCGGCACCACTCGTGCCCGTCATGTCCCTCGTAGTCCTCTCGCATGTCCTTCATGTCCTTGTCCTTGGACA